GGGGGGGGGGGGGGGGGGGGAAAGACAGACCCACCTCTGTTTTTGTCTGTCTAAATCGCAAACAGCTACTAAAGGAGAGGAGTTTATTGAGGTTGAAGGAAAGTAATCTTTTTTTTAATATCTTGAATTATTTGCACAACCTGTACTCTTCTGAGAATCTGGTTGCCTTGAAATTGCAGCTCTGTTGTATCATTGCTCCTGGAGTTTGCTGCTGGGTACATTTACCTCTTTGAGCTAAGCTGCTGTAAGCACCATTGACTTTGACGGTGTATGCTCGACTTGCCAAGAGAGACTGTAGCTGTAGGCCATCTGTTCCAGAAACTGCTTTAGCTTCATTGCCTCAGGCTGAAATCTCACAGACTTCAAACAGTGGTACAGAGTGGCTTCTGTAAACTTAGAAGAAAGAACACACAGCTTAAGGTTGTTGTTTTAATAGTTTTCTGTGAATTATTTGTATATGTGCACTTAAAATTATTTAATTTTGATTAGACTGGAAATACTACTGTATCAGAAACCAGGAGTCCTAGAGAAGACAGCCATTTACAGGTGATTCGTAATTATCAACAACGCCTTCTACAGCAAAATAGGTAAATTCCTTTATGAAATGGAAGTTCAAGTTGCCTGTTTCAAAATAATTTTAATTGCTTTGATTATTGAAATTTATGTTTATCTTTGCACCATTCTGGGAAGATTCATGTTTTCCTTCTGTTCAGGCTGCACAGACAGACCATTGAAGAAGCTAGAAAGCACCTACAGGAGTATCAGAATAAATTGAAGCAAAGATATTTGTCTACTTCTGCAACACCTCTGAGCTCTGTGGAAACAAAATCAATTCATTTAAAGCCTGTCTTAGAACTGCTTATACAGAGGCAAGGAGCGCAACCAGCACAGTACCAGTCATCTGAACAAGTTCATGCACGAGAGTATGCACAGTCGCTACCTGTGTTTTCAGGAGCATTGCATATGTTGGAAAAAACACCATCACAGAAACATGAGGAGCAAACGCGTGACGCTTGTCCTGGCAGACACGTGCAGTTTTTAGAAATATCAAAACTGAAGCATGGAGAGTTTCGCTTGCCGTGTGGCTGTCCCTCACAGGAACAAGTGGGAATATTTGAAACCTCCAATAACCACACCAGAGAACCATCTCAGTTCCAGTTACCATCACAGTTAGTCACGAAAGATGTCAGTGCAGCACGAACGCAGCCGGAAGCACGCATACAACATGTTAGATACGTCTTGCCTGCAGAAGATTCCTTTGAGCCTTCAGAAACAGTGCGCTTTAGAGAGTCATCTCAGATGTCATCTAACCGTCAAGCAGAGACAGAAGCTGGAGAAGAGCCTCCACTTAAGACACCCCTCATGCCAGCAACAAAGGGATCTCCTATAGTTCAGGCACCCTCAGTTGATTCTTTGGCGTATCAGCAGGGATCTGCAGAGAGCACCATCAAAACAAGCCTTGAACAACCCCTCAATCTTCCTGAACCTGTGACTTTATCTCATGAAGAATCTAAAGCCCAGGGTGTTGAAGAATTCTTTATATCAAAACCAGGAGATGCATCTTGGTTAAATTATTCTGGTATACTGAATTTGAGGGACAGAGTGTTGGCCTCATCAGAAAGCATCCAAGCTCAGCAAAAGTATTTGAAAGAATTGCAAGAGCAGCTAGATGCACAGAGAGAAGCTCTTCTTTCTAGGCAGAAAATACAAGAACAACTACTTTTACAGAAGCAAGATAAATTGAAGGAACAGATGCAGAGACAGCAAGAGGCTTTGAAAGGATTTCTGAACAAGCAGGTAAGCTTTATGAATGCTTTGCATGGTGAGTCATCTAGTAGGTGATCAAACTTAAAAGTGAATGCTACCAATTAGCAAAGCATCCCATGGAGTGTTGCTAGTTTTAGATGATTTACCATAATGAAAATTTTAATTAGGACTTGTGATTTGTAATCAGTAGTTCTCTTCAGCAAGCCCCAAGAGCGCTGTTTTGTTCGGTCTAACAGAACTAGTATGAACTTCTGTGCATGGTCTCTGAACATAATGCTTATTGAAATAGTTATGTTGTCTGAAATATTTGCAGGCGTAGCTTTCTTCCATTCTAGAAATGCAGCTATAGGCGTAAAACGCCTCTTGTATTAAAAATATGTAAGCAGTACCTCAAAGGATATTTGTAAGCATTTTAAATATATTATTTTTTAAAGTTTGTCTTTTATGTTTGTACACACAAGTGTATATGTTAGGAAATTGGTTTGTCAGCTGCACTCTTGACTTGTAATTTTGTTTGTTTCTGGGTAACAGAAGAAAATTCAAGCTTATTTTGAGTTTCTAAAGCAGCTCCTTTTGCCCTTCTCTTTTCTTTTTTTTAAACAGCAGCCATCTTAGAAAAGTAAATGTTGCCTAGAGTCCCTGTCTCTTGCTTTTGAAGCCTCCAAACAGCTAAAATTCCTAAATTGAGTAGCTGAAAAACTAAAAAGCTTTTCAGGAATTGTTCCTGTTAAAAATGCTGAGTAATCCAGCAGAGGCCTTGAAAATGTAAATAATTGTTTTGGCACATTAGTTTTTTAGAGCTAAATAAAATACCTGTATGTCCAAAAGTTTTTGTAAGCTAAGCAAGTCTGTCCAGTATCTTGCATACTTGAACTATTTTCTCAAAGTGCTCAATATTGTCCTGTAAGGAATACACACACAAGAAAATGCTGGTTTGATAAATGAGTATAAATATAATCTTATATACAGTTGCTTCCCCCCCTTCTAAGGTGAGATATATTTGCACAAATGAAGAAATGACAGAGACACAAAAGCCTGGCTGCATTAATAGGACTGACTTTTTCCAAGTCTCAGAAAACTACCAGCAAGAGAATTGTGGCAGGAGTAAATTTCACGGACGTGAAATGATTTCACAGTGCCTCAGTCCAGCTGAGCAAACTGGTAAGGCTGTATAGTATTTATCATTACAATTTTTCTCATTTTGCAGCTGAGATGGGCTTCTCTTCCATCTCCCCAGGTTAATTTGATACATACATACGTGTTATTGCAACATGCAAAACTTTGTTTTACAGAACAGTCGGAGAAAGTTCTATGTAGAGAACAGAAGCAGAGATCTTCCAAACCACCTGTGGCAAAAGTCAAGTTAGGGCTTGATTTGGAACAACATGAACTTAGTGTTATACCAGAGGTAGACACGCCGAAGAGTTGCAACATTTCTTTTGCAGGTAAAATCTGTATATATGGATATAAAAAATATAATAAATGCTGCTGTTCCTGAAAAGTACAGATTGGAGGAAATTAATCTCTTCTGAAGAGTCTTCGAGATGATTGATTGTGAAATAATATCTGATACTGTTGCCTTTTTTTTAAGGTATAATTTATATACTAGCAAAGTGAGTTGTAGTTGAGAAAAGGTAATCCTGTCAGTGTCTGTCTAGAAAAACGTAATCGAAACACAAAGTCACCAAGAAAAAAAATTCACTGTAATTCCATGACTTAAATTCCCTGTTGATTTTTTTCCTGTTGGGCAGCATCTGTGTTAATAGACAATTGCACAGTAATTGTAAAGAGAACCATCAGAGTTTATGGAAGATGTTTAAAGGTGCTTTGAGCATACCAAGAAAATGAGTGGAAACTTTTAAGTAAGTTTAAGAGTTAGTATCAAGTTTCTACAGAAAATTTTAGACCATATTTATAGGTTATTTTCAGTTATAAAACACTATTTGTAAAAATTTCAGGCATTCATCTGATTTATCTTGGCATTCATCTTGAAAAATGTAGTGAAATAATGAGACAGCTAATATGGGACATTTGTTAATTAAAGAAAAGTAATCAATGCTAGTCAGCATCAGTTTATGCACAATAATTCTTGTTGGACCAATTTTGTATCTTGATTAGACAAAAAGTTTCATTGGTAAAGGTTTCGGTAGAAGAATATATTCTCAAAAGCACTTGTCTTAGTGTTACACATCTTAATTACAAAAAAAAAAAATAAAATATTAAAACCAAAAATGCCTACCAAAAAAGTTTTGTGAAATAGTATCTAGTGGAATTTTAGAGTAGGGAATACTCATTTTCTGTGTAATCCCATTATGATCCACAGGTGATTTATTATCCTGTATTATCTAACCATTGGTCACAGTAGGTAGTAAAAAGTTGGACTTGTGTTTTTTATTGTATTGTGTGGCCAAAAAGGGCTGTTGTGTGGCATGGGTTGAGGGGAAAAGAAATCTTTAAGCCAGTGCAGAGACATTGCCTCTGGATTTGGAAAAACAACTGAAAGTTTTGGTGGATTTCCTATGTGGAAAAATTTGTTTGAATTTTTTTGGTAGAAATATTTTAGTTGAGAATTATTTTCTGAGAAGTCTATGACCTGTATAATCTTTTTATCTGTGTGATCTGTAAACTGTATAATACAAAGTTTTTTACTGACCTGATGTGGCTAACTCTATTAAAATGGAGCACTGTACAAATTCACCAGGTTATTTCTGTAGAACAGAATGTGCATCTTAATTTTTTTCATGAAGTGCAAAACACTGCATTTCTGTACCTAAACTGATAACATGTTTTAAATCCAGATAAAACAGATTCTGTTGGTGGAGAATCTTCTCCCATTTCAACCATTGGGGAGTTTGAATATGTGAAACGTTACAGTCATGCTCGTCATGAAGACGGCAGGTTACCTTTGAGCATAACAACCTATGAGGAACAAATGTCTAATGGAAATCCAAGGCAAAGTAAACAGTCAAGTGGATTATTACAAGAGGTGCTGACGATGACTGCTAAAAATTCATATGATTCAGGTGAGGAAATCCTCTTACTTCAAGGAATTACATGAATATCATTCAGCACTGCTAATTGTACTGCTATGTATTTGTAGTGTGTGACCTGACTTGTTAAAGAAAATGCAGTGCTATTTAAGTACTGTTTAATTTTAAATGTAAAAAAGGGTGTTTCAGTAAGCATGTGTTCTCAGAATGACTGAGATTTTTGGTTTGGTGGGGTTTTTTTGGGGGTGGGTTTTTTTTGGTGATCTGTTACCATTCCAGTAACAAAAGTCCACACTGCAGTAAGCTTCATTGCTAATCAACAGTTTCTCATCCAGGGCACATGATCTGTATTGGTGCCTTGTAGAACTGTCTGTAAAGAAACTTTTGCACTGCCAGATTGCCCTGCCCTTCCCAGCAGAATCCCATGCACACACAGGAAGCAAACTGCTGTACAAAGCCTCAGGTGTGTCCTCCTCTTGAGGGAGGTATCTTCTGCCCAGACTGTGGGGTGTTCAGGTTTGCACCTTCACCAGGTGGGACCTGTTTGAGCTGACAAGTGGTGTGCCTGATTTACTACCCAGTGATTCCTTGTATCAACACAAAGGAAATTAATGCTTAAGGAGAACTCTGGAGTGTTACATGCTAATGTAGAAGTCCACTGAAAGATCAGTGTATATAAGAAACTTCTTAAAATACAGCTGAGACAAAAAATAGAAGGCTGTTACCCTTAAGTCAAAGAAACAATTTGAAAGAATCAGCTGTTAGTTGTGACAGAAATAAAAATGGTGCAATAATGTAAGGATTACTTTAATTCTGCTCTTTTCATCTGCAAAGAGCTTTTATTAGAGATCACACCTTAGAGCATAAGCTGTGTCCATATGTGACAAAGTTAATTGGATTCTATAAATTAAACCAAGTTGTTTTGGTTATAAAAAAGTTGGTTTTGTTATAAAATGGTTTGTAAATGTTCAACATAATTTTGTTATAGGGTTGTTGAAACCTACTAAGCATGGTATGGGTAGCTTGACCAGTTTTATTAAAGGACAAAGGTGATTAGTCTCAGGTAAACAAAGCAGGTTACTAGGAAGTTTTTCAAGAGACTGGACTAACAAGTGGATGCCAAGGCTTTTAATTCCTACTATTTTTTTCCCTGCCTATAAAAATTTAGCTGGTCTCTCCAGTCTTGGAATAATGTTAACTCAAAGGCTCCAGTACTTTCAGTTGCAATGCACTTGCTTCTCTTCAAATTTCCTACAGATTGAAATGCAGTTTATCATCGCTGTAATTGAGAAATGCTATGCCTAACTTTCTGGGAACTGTTAGACAAAGTTTGCAAAACATTGCCTAAAGCAATTTGAAGCTTATTACAAGATGACAGCATCTCATGGTCCAGTACAATTTTCAGTATCCATCTGAAATAAATATATTACTAGAGCTGCAAAGGCGTCTTCAGTAACTTTGTTACCTTATATGTAGGTCTTTATGAGCAATACAGCTATGTAGTATGCACCTCCTGGGTTTGCTAGGAATTTCACCGCTGCCCCAAATCTTAAGGTAACTTTTCATGTAGTTTTATGTTGAGGCATCCTTTTCAATTCAGTCAGGATTTACTAGGAATTTAGGTTGTTTTGAGTAAGTACATGTTGAGCTCTTTTTTTTTTTTTTTTTTCAACTGCTTCCTTTAATTCTCAGAATACTCTTTCTGAAATATACCTGTATTTAAACTTAAATTATCACTAAAGAATTTTGTCTTTTTTAACAGTATTTGAAGAAAAGGCTTGTATTTTTCTAAGTTGTAGAAGCATTGCTAGATCAGCGCGTTACCAAATTAATAGGAAATATCTTAGTGTAGTGTCTTTTTACACTAGTGAGTATTCTATATGAACAGTGCAGTGGTTTATGTAAGAGGATTAGGAAACTTCATGTGAACATCTATATTTAAAAAAAAAAATAAATAAATAAATAAAACCAAACCCTATAAAAACCAAACCCCAGAGCCTTCTGTGATGATGTATTTAAGAGGATTGTCCTCCTGAGCAGCTCAACAACTAAAACTGTCAATAGTATCTTTGTAATTTAAAGGCTGTGAAAGCACTCTGTGGTAATTCAGTAACTAGTGCAGTATTTTCAGCAAGAAAAACTATAGTCTGTGTTAAAGTTTCTGAAGGGGAAAGGGGAAACTTAAGGTGCATTTGAAGTTGTTACCTATGATAGTAGCTTTGATTATTTTTTATTTAATTGTTGGGGGCTTTTTGGTAGTGGAGGTTTTTTTGGTGGTTCGTTTTGGTTGTTTTGGGGTTTTTTTGCTACTTGATTCTATAACCAGAACACGTTTGCAGTTTTCCCATGTTTTCAAGATGTAATTCTGTCTCTAAAGGTGAGAGCAAATGAGTGCTTTGTACATGTGATCTCTGACCTTATTCTTTGAAGTTATGTTCTTAGGGGTTTCTATCTTCGATCAAATAATGTAAAGCTTTACTACTTGAGAGTTGTACTTCTTTTGTGATTACAGAACCACTAGATGTGCACAAATCCTATTAATCACTGCTCGTGTGCTTTTTCAAAATAAAGCATTAAAGATAAAAAGGTAAAAGTTATACAGGTTCTTAAAAAGATAAACTTGGTAAATCTGCTTAGATACTTTATCAACAAAGGTGAGTTTCCTTTGATATGAGACTTGTCCTTGGGTAACAGGCAATATTTTTTTTTTTTTTAATTTCTATAATTAGCTGTATTTCTTCAAATTACTACAAGAAGAATAACCCTCTCAAATTTAGAAGCAGACATGTCTGAACATAAAACTGGTCTAAAGGACTGCTTCTGGGTAGGGGAGGATGAATCCCTGTGCTCAGTACTGAGTGGTTGCAAGTGCTACACAAACTGCTCAGCTGGGTGGCAGGCAGAGAGGACCGGTAACTGTTAAGGTGATGTTGCAGTAAGCGCCACCAGTGAGGCTACGATTTGCATTGCTCTCTCTTACCATGCCACTGATGTATGACAAGACGAGTTAGGAACTTTGGACACTTGATACTACTTCTTCCCAATCCAGTTTGGTTAAAATGGGTTAATGAATGTCAACATGGGATTGCAGAGTAAACTTACAGATGAGACAGGCAGTTTGATGGCATAACCGCATTTCCTTAAAAGTCAGTCTGAAAATAGTGACTAGATGCGATACATACATCTCGCTCGCGGTTCCCCTTTGTTACACGTCAACAGGCTTATGTCTCTTTATTCATCTTCAGCAGTCCTCTTGAGCAGTGCTCCAGATGTGATTATCTTCATGTATTGCTAGCCTGTACAGAGATTTTATTCCAAGCATGATTATTTTTTGTGTGATCCAAGCTGACCTAAGATTTCGAGTTATTTTTAGTAATCCCAAATATTTTTCCATAATTCCTTATTGTGACAGATTGTCTCATCCAACACCAATTTAGACAAGCTAGCATGCAGTACAACTTTTTTTGGTTTGTCTGCATGGTTGGATTTGGACTAATCCCTGTTTTTATATTGTCTTTGTTGGGTGGTTTGTTGTTCAGTCTTTTGTTATCAAATTGCACCCTGAAATTATTGCTGCTTTTTTACCGCAATTTCTGTTGGGGAAAAAAAAAAGGCATTCTGTATATTACAGCCTCGCTTTTTAAATACAAATTCTTTGTCGCAGTGTGGTGGCTAGGAGGTTAAAACATGAATGTCCCGTATTGATGTCAGGAAGCTGTGAGGAACAAGAATCTTGCATTATTATTTTGGAGGGAGGAAAGAAGAATAAAAAGCCCTCCTCTACAGTTAGTTTTTTTTACAGATATTAATGTAATAAAGTCATGAGATATGAGCATGTTGTATTTTTAATTAAATAATTTGGTTCATAGCATGAAATTGCTGCTGTTCCTCCCTTGTATTAATATCACAAGAACAATGCAGTAATGAAACATTTGTAGCCTAGCTCTCCATAGAATTTATATACAAGAGAGTATTAAATGCTTGAATCTCATCTCATATGTATTCTAAATTATTACCTGTCATGCTGATATCCTTTAGAAGATAAAATAATTTCTTTCAGAAAAATAACTAATCTTGATATAAAAGGATCAGGAAATAGTGAATTCTTTGGTAGCTTGTTCCACCATTTAGTTTTTTATCAAACTATAAAATAAATGGTCTGTTTCCAGTTTCTGAATGTCTGACAGCCATTTGTAGCCACTGCTTCTTGTTATTCCTTTCTTTGAGTTTTTAGAAATCTTTTGTACTGTGTGTTTTTTTTCCTCCTATGGAGATATTTAAAAACCAAGAGATAGCCACTGCTTCTTGTTATTCCTTTCTTTGAGTTTTTAGAAATCTTTTGTACTGTGTGTTTTTTTTCTCCTATGGAGATATTTAAATACCAAGAGATGACTGCAGTTTTCATGCCTACTCAAGGAATTTTCTTCAAAGCCTTGCTCATTTTCAGGATCTTCTGTCTTCTATATTCTGCTCCAAAGAAGAGGAGCAGACTTCTGCAGAGTGTCTGGACTCAGCCACACTACTGCCATATCCAACCAACGAGCTTCTTGCCACCTTGTTCTACTCAAACCTTAAAAGTTGTCTTTCATGTGAACCTGAAGACCTTTATCGTGTACTTGTAGACGAGGGATCAGAAGCCAGTGTTCTGTGCTCTTACATTTATAATTTTATCTATATTGGAACAGTGTTGTTTAACAGACCCAGCTTTGCAGGAGGTTGAGGTCATTTTTACCGTTCTTCCACTCTTCATATTATTTGCAACCTCTGTTGCCAACAGCTCCGTTTGGTTACTGATCACACTGTCATAAATGATCAAGATCAAGCCTGCTAGAAGTTTCTGGAGAATTCATGAGCGTGGGGGGAAAAGAAGCCACTTGAGAATTTCTTTAACCTTAATTTTGAGATCACTCAGCATTTAATGTAATAAAATAGTAAATGAATTAAGAATAGGTTAAGGTCTCTTAATCCAAATAAGTATAGTTTAGATGTATTTCATTTTGTCTTCTACTTTCTCCTAGAAGAATACTGGATGATATCGGCTATAGGAAACCTTAGATTTCTGCCCCAAAAGAATTAGTTTCAAAATGTTTCATACTGATTGAGATACATTAGTATCACATCATATAGATACTTCACTGGCCCTTTTTTTGTACAGTAGAAAAAGGGAACAACTGGACTCCACCCTCCAGTAAGAAATTGCATTTCAGTTTATACAGGCTGCAAACTAGTGTTAGGATTCACAGAAGGTTAGGAGATCTGCCGAAGCATAGAGCCTCACAAGCGCTGGGGATTTGAAAGGTGTCTGTCACTTGCAGCCCTTGTAGAGTTGGGAGAAAACATACCTTCACTTCTACTGTTTAATTTCTGTTTGATATTTAGCACTTCTTTCTTGAAAACTATTACTGGAAATAGTATTATTTTAGAGTTGTTTGCTGGCAATTAATTTACAATCTTAGAATGTCAAACTTCAAAGGTGTTTGTCAGCACTGAATACAGAAATTACATTTTTCTGGTGCTGCTGTGGTACTACTGTGCAGATACTGATCTCCCTTGTACATGTAAGAGCCTTATGGCAAAGGTAATTCAGTTCCATGGTAGTAGTCATGCTATAGTTAAGTAATTCCGTGTGTCTGATTTCTCTGATCTACTTGGAATGTCTGCTTTCTTTTTTAATCATTGTTAAGGGTAGACAGCAAAAGATTCTGCCTTCCTTCCCCCCCCCCCATTAAACTATTATAACAACACTAGCAAAGTGTTCATTCTGCAAAGCCAAAGCATGAATTTCTAGCTCTTCCTGCACACTCCGCAGAGAGCAGTCATGCTGGTTAGACATTTTAAGAAGGCTGGTCAAGGAGAACCGCCAATTGCCAATTAAATCGGTGGAGCAGAAAGTATGTTGTAGGTGAGAAGAAAGCGGTAAGGATGAGCAAAATCAGTGCCCCAGTAGTGAGGCCAGCAGCAGTAGAGTCTTACTGCCATCTGGTGTCCAAAAAAAAATTGCTGACTGTGAACTCGGAAGTTGCTTTCTATTCCTTATTGCTTCTCTTACATTTGTGTTCAGCCCCATCCCAGGATTCTCAAGCGGCTCAAGATTTACCAGTTCTTGCTGCTGAAATTGGAGAGGGAGTTACAACATGTTCTGGACCATCATTCAGACTTGATAATAAGGTTAGTCATATCAAAATAACCCTGTAACATAACTTAATCTTTATTTTGTGATTAAAATCTTTCTCTCTCGTATTGGGAGGCTAAGACTGGGTGCGATACTCTGGATGCAGCAGTGTCACAAGCACCAAGTGAAGAGAGGTAATCACCGCGATGGATCTACTAGCTGTATTCCCGTTCATACAGCGCAGGATGCTGTTACCTCTCTGCTGCCAGGGCACACCATGGGCTTACACACTCGGCTCGCTGTCTGCTGAGACCCCTGGGTCCTTTGTCACAGGGCTGCTCCCCTGGCAGCCCCAGCTTGGACTGATGTATGGGGTTCTTCCTTCACAGGCGCTGGACTTTATATTTGTTCTTGCTGAGTTTCATAACATTCCTGTAGGGCCAGCCTCACGAGGTCGTTCTAGATGTCAGCCCTGCCATTTACTGTGTCGGATGGTCCTCCCAGCTTAGTGTTACCTGCAAACTTGACAAAAGCATGGTTTCAGCTCTATGTCATTGCCAAAGGTGTTAAAGAGGACACGTCCTAGGATGGAGCCCTGTCATACTTCACTTGTTCCCCACCTCCAGGTGCAGCGTAACCCTCTGAGCCTGATTATCCAGCCAGTTTTTTACCTGTCTTGTCATCCATCCATCCAGGTCGTGACATCCAAGCTGGGATACAAGAACATTGTGAGAGACAGTGTCAAAAACCTTGCCAAAATCAATACCAGTGATATCCCCTGCTTTCCTCTCACCCAAATACCCCATTGTTTTGTCAGGAGATTAAAAACAGTATTTAAAAAATGCTATGTATAATGTGTGTATGTTAAATATATTTACATAAGGTGGTATATAATGAAAAATGTAGGGGAAGGGTTTCTTAGATTTTTGTCTTGAATTTTCTTGGTGCACATTTTAATTCAAAGTTTGGGAAGAAATGTTCACGTCCAGTTCTTCAAAATTTGGAAGTACAAGAACTTTCATTCTCTGGTTTGTGACTTTGTAGTCACAAACTTAAGTCAAACTTAAGGAAGTCAAAACTGAAGTCAAACTTAAGGAAGATAATATTTTAGGATATTCTGTTTATTGTTTGTTTCATTTCATAGAATTAAATTTTTAAGTCAGTCTGCTGTATGCAAAAGGCATATTCTTGAAAGTACTTGTAAAATTCTTGAGGTTTTAATGTATTGCATTCATGTTCCTCTGAGATCTACAATTCTACTGAAGTAGGTCTGTGATGAGAAATAGCCAAATCTGACGACCAGGAGATAAAATAATCTTCCAGGTGTCATGATCTGTATGCAGTTCTGAGAGGCTTTATTACTGTCTGTCTGTCTGTCTCTGTGTGTGTGTGTGTTGAGGGGAGGGGGCTGTTGGGGAGCAATGTGTCTGGGACCTTGGGTGTGAATGTTTTGTACTGGGCAATGATGAATCTGTATTTGCCTGAGTGTGCAAAGCCTGAAGGCTTCTACACTTGAACTGAGCTCAGAATAAGATGTGTGGTTCAAAGCTTTAATTATGGACATCCAAATACGTGGTAAAGCGTATGTTATTTTGTCCTAGGAAGTACTTTCTAAGGTAGTATCCACAAACTTGGCTTCAGAGGCTTTCGTGCAAGGAATACCCAGTGACTTATCTTCAACAATTTCCACTGGAAGCTTGTTGACTAGTGAAACATCGGATGTAACCCCTGTTGACACTGGTGAGTGGGTTTTGTTGTTCTTGTGAAAGGAAAATTGTGTATTCTCTTTATTTTATAACAGAATGGGTCTAACTGGACATAAATTCTTCTGAAATAAGCGAACAGGAGCTTCACTTAAGAATGATTAATATGTGTTACAGAGTTGAGTGTAACTAGATATTTCATTATGTGCTAATTTTTTTTTTTACGCTTATAATAATTTAACCTTATAACACATCAGATTTGGCAAAGGATATTTGAGTTTTATTAAGCAGCAGTAACCCTAGCAGTTTTCAAGTGGCAATTTTTTAAAAAAAATTAATCCCCAAATGATGCACTGATAAAAGTTTTCTAATCAATATATATCATAGATTGTTATAGAGCTATGATTGTTGTCTTGCTATTAAGAGAATTGTTCCAATATCCACTTATCACCATAGTAATTCTTAATAACTTATTTGTGAAAATACCACTTGAATACCATACTGACTTTTAGTAGTTTTCTGGGAAATGTGTGTTCATATTCTTTTTTCCTTTCAGTCTGCTTCTTGATCTTAAGCTAGCTTTTCATAAAATTAAAAATAATTCCGTTATGATAAATATATAATTGCTCCTCTGCACACTGATGTTATCACTTGTGAACATGGGAAGTGAGTTTGAAAGGGCTCAGATAGTGACCTGTGCATTTATTTACTTTCATGCTTAATATTGTGTTAATCTGACACATATCTGATCTCATAAACAACCATGTGTGTTTATGAGTTCTTCTGTGTTTATAAATCAACTTTTGAAGACTACGGTTTTTGAGCCACTGAAATGTCAGGCTGTATTGTAACCCTAATGTTCCAAATTGGGAAGTGTTACTTTTGAGTAATAAGCTTCATAACTCATATGACAAATTGTGGTTTATTGACATAGAAAAGCTAAGGCAAATTCTAAGATCATTTGTTTGTAGCTTTTCTTTTCTATTGTTTTTAAGTTGTGGAATCAAAGCACCAAAGGTTTTGGTTACTCAGCTACATGAATAAATTTTTCAAGTTTTCTGATAGTTTTGTGCAATGCTTTTGTAAGCGTATACAGAGAGGGGTTGGTGCGCTAACTAGGAACACAATTTTGGTTTCTTTGAGTCGCTCGGATTTCTTATGTATTTCTAGGAATAGGCAATTTCTGTTTAAGCATAAATAAAACTGCTGCCTGATGCCATGAAGACACTCAAGATCATGTTAAAGGATTGACACATTTATGTGCAATAGGAAGTAAAAGTATGCTAACTAGCATAAAATAACAGGATTAATTCTTTTCTGAATTTAATGTTTCAGTATTTCCTGAGTCTATATACTCTAAAAGTGCTAAGCTGTACTATCTAGTTAGATATTATCAACCTGAATTTGTGGAAATTTGTGGTAAGGTTTGTGGGAGCATTGATGGGAGACAATTAAAAAAACAAAACCCCTGAGCTCTTTATGAATATTTCAGGATATTAAGCAGTATCAGGTGACTTCATGTAAGTGGTTTATATGCAAAACTGTCAACATCTACCTTACTATTTCAGGATTGTCTTCTGATAGTACAGAAGATCGAATTTTGAAAGAAACAGTGAGCCACCCTTGGAACTCCTCACTGCCTTTTACCTTACAGCAGAGGCAAAGGAATTTGTCTGGAGCATCTGGAACTCAATTGCCTGAAGGAGAGGTGTATCTTTATAAACGAAGTTGGATACAGCAGATCTTGGGGAAATGTACTGGAGACTTGAACTCTTACTCAGAGGGCAATACAAGTTTCCAAGGTATTTGCCATTTTAAGGCATTTTTGTGCTGCACTCTCATTGTACAGAATGAGGAGCTTACTCAGTGTGATATGTTAGTCTGTTAGTTACATTCAGCTTACATTTTAAAGTCAGTAAGAATTCTACTTTTGATGCATTGATGTTTTTGTGCTTTGCTTTATGTATGTGCCCACATAGTATGGTGTAGTGCAAAAAAAGACCGTGTGATCAGGTATCTATCTGATTGTAGTCTAGTTCTGCGCAGCTTCCTGCTACTATGGCTAGACTGTTTGTTATCTGTGCCAATTTTATCTGTTGTTTATGCACAACTTTCCCTTCAGGAAGGTAGAGACAATAATATATGATGCTTTATTATTCACATAGGGTCACATAGTTGATGAAACACCGATTAACAGACTGGTGGAAGTTCTGTGCTCTCTAGAAAGATGTAATGATTCACGAAAATAAGAACATCTTTATTAGCTATCATGAAGATAACGCTAGTATTTTAATTAGAACCACTTCCTTCTGGAATGTTTGAAAACCTAGAATCATAGAATTATAGATTAATCTAGACTAGAAAGGACTTCTAGTTATGTGTGATCCACATTCTCTGTCCTGCTCACAGCAGAGCCAACTTAGATCAGGTTGCTTAAGGCCTTGTCCAGGCAAGTTCTGAATATCTTTAAGGACAGAGATTCCACACCTCCCCAGGCCACATTTTAACAACTTTCTTCTATTTTCTTTTAAGTTCAACCAGAATTTCCTACCTCCCCAGGCCACATTTTAACAACTTTCTTCTTTTCTTCTCTCTTTTATTTTCTTTTAAGTGTTCCATCTTGTGTCCGTTATCTCTTTTTTTTTTTTTTTTTTTTTTTTCACTGAGTATGCCTAAGAGAACTGACTGCATATTCTCTGTACTGTCTCTTAGGGTGTAGTACACAGCAGAGATTTTTGCGCCCCTTCCCCCACACCCCCAAGCCTTTTCTTAAGATTGAAAAAACTCCTTTTTTTTTTTTAGTTTCTCTTTGAACATCGTGTGCTTCATCCTTCCCTTTAATCATCCTTGTGGCTCTTTGTTGGACTTACTTCACTGTCTCACTGGGCATTTTGTGCTGGGAAGCCCACACTTTCTGATGCAGTCTCACAGATGCTGAACAGAGAGCTTACGGACTCCAGCTTTTCAATAAAAAAAAAAAGCATCAGTGGCACACTTTCTTGCTGCTTTTTGTACCTGCATTGTATTAGAGTGAAAAAATTAGATGTTGTAAAGATCTTTCTTTCTTATAAGCTAACATTTGTATACCTGTGGAATTCTATATACTTTATTTACCACATATAGAAGCGAGGTGGGATATGTCCATTGTTTTTTTTGAGGGGAGTTGGTTTTAGGTGGGGTTTTTTGTTCATTTTTAAAATAACCTCTTTTCTTATAGCTCTAGCAGCTGAAATTGATTTTCCTGAAGCGGAAAGACATTTTCCAAACTTCCATCACCAGCTCTTTCAGCCGCTGGAACCGAGCCTGGACTTTGATACTTTATCGTCGTGTTCTCAATACAGAACTTCACAAGACAGTAGAGAATTTAGCAAGGTACTGCAGAAAAACTCTGATGGAAGAATACTTTGGCTTAAGATTTCTGTAAGATTTAAATGTATAATCCCTATACTGTCTTTTGTTTAAAAGAAACACAATAATAATCTTTGATATACTTAGAACTGGAAGGGTTTTTGCTGGCTGTAGCAGAAATGTGATGCAAAAATCAAATATTACCTTTAATTTTTTTATCCTTTGTATTTCTGAGGAAATAAATCTTAAAGCAAGATTTTTTTTTTCTGCCACTAGACTTTAAAGTTTTCAGTATTTCTGAGGAAATAAATCTTAAAGCAAGATTTATTTTTTTTTCCTGCCACTAGACTTTAAAGTTTTCAACAAAAAGTCAAGATGTGTCTACGTTTCTAGGAGTGGGAAACTCCTGTTTGAATATACAAAGAAGCAGTCTGCCTTCTAGCTTTGAAACAAATGGGCCACACAACATTGCATTAGAAGACTCTGTTAAAGAAAATGCTACTCTAGGTATGTACAGTACAGTCAGATCAGTGCTTTCAAAATGGCCAACCCTAAAGGTGGATTTGCTGTGTTGAAACTGGGAAGGAGCTCTTCACTTCTCTGTCAGCCCTACCTTGAAATGTCTTAACTCTGCTGCTGCTCTCTCACGTGCTGTCTTCTCCGCCATCTTTAATGGGTAGAACTCCTAAATTTTGGTAAGTTCTTTTATTTCCTCAGCAGTTATGACTTTAATACAAAAGCAGACCTGCATATTCACGACACTGTACTGGATATTGTTACTTATTACTGGTGCAGTAATTATGATGTTAGTGAAGAATTATCAACTCTGGCTGAACCTGTCAGTTAAAGTACTTTTCCAAATACCTGTTCATGCATATCCATTACTTTTTGTAAGTTGGAGGAAATTAAGGAAGTTCCATAAATTGATTACAATTTTTTGAGGTATATGTGTTAGAATCTCTTTGATCTTACTCATTTTTCTCTTATACATTGCGTCCTTCAAGAAACCATTGAATTTTCCTTCTCTGCTGTTAAGTCACACCAGTAGTCATTATGTACTGCACGCTGTGATGTTTGGTTTGATTAGAGAATTGCTTTATCTATCTACAAAATAAAGCGGGGAAAGAGAGAGGAAGGAATAAACTTTTAGATTACAATGTAGTAATAAATTTAGTAGATGAAAAGTTTATAATTCTACAGCAGCATTAAGTTAAATGCAGCTCGTAGCAGGAAAAGTATTTTTTAATGTTTTGCAGTTGAATTCAAATTAACTTGATATTTCATGTTGTCTAAAGAAAAGGACCAATCTGAAATTCCAAATGCAGCTAGTAGTAATCTAAATATTTCTGAAGCTCTTATTACCAAGAATCAGGCATTTCAGCATTTTTCAATGCTCCAGCAGAAAGCTGAACTGTAACAGGAAACACAGCACAATATGTTAAGTAATAGATGTATTTCTAATGTAAGTGTTCCTGGTCAGTTATCTTTGTTATTTGCATATCTATCTATCTGTCTAATTCTTGGAGACACACAGTTTGTCTTCAAAACTGCAAGCAACTATTCTGTCTGCTATATTTCTCTTTCTCTTTAGCTGGCAGATGCTGGTACAAAAAAAAAAAAAAAATAATAAAAAATGCCAGAAGAGGCTTACACTTTGAGACCACCTGTGGTCACAGCAAATAGGATTTAGGAAACTCCCTTCTAACTGCAAAACTTTCTATTTATACATCGCTTATACAAAAAGTCTTTGTGCTTTAAATGTAACTGCAATATCTTCCCCGTCTCTTAAGTGTTTTTATAGTCCCAAACCAATTATTCTTGTGCTTTACAAGGGGGGAAAAAAATGACATAAGCAATGGGCTAAGCATGTAAAAACTATTTTGGGTTGTCAGTGCAAGGTAGATGGATATGCAAGTCCATCCCCTGGAGAATTTTCTAGTAATGGCTGATGTTGCAGTGCAATTCCTCCCTCCAGGTATTTACCAGGGGAGAATATTCTTTATACATGTAAAGCTAGAGATTTTGTATTTGTCAAAGAACGCAAAAGAATCTTTAAAGGAAACCTTTAAAGGCTTGTGATATATTTCTGTGTATATAAAAAGCCTGTTGATAGCATGATGCTGGAGTTTGTGTAAGCAATTTTACTAACTTCGGTCAGAGGTATATTTAAAAAAAAAAATTTAAACAACCCTGTTGTTTGTTTGGCATATGCTGTAGTGCTGAAATGCCTCCCCAATAATTAAAATGTTGATACTCAAATCTTTTTCTTTTCCCAGCCTCTTCGGGGGGATGGGGGGGAGGGAGGGAAATCTTGACTTGTATGTGTAGATCCTAAGGGATCCTACTTGTAGGAGCAGCGATCATTGTTCCAGTTTGGATGTTTTCTTCTACTTTGAAGAGTTTCTGCCCAAGTAATGGTGTTTTGGATTGTTTTCTTCTTGGTTTAGAGACTTTGTTGGAGGCCCAAAGGGGACTCAAAGGCTTTCCATTCACAGAGGATAAATTGTAAAATCCGTTGCCTTTCAATGTAGTTACGTCAGCACCATTATGAAGTCTGTCCCTAAACGTATTCTAAGAAGCAACAAAAAGTGTGGGTTTATGTACAGGGAAGGAATCATATTATGTAATGTTAATGTTTGAAGAAACTTAAGCAGACTTTTTTGAAACAAAATGTTTCTTCCTGTTTACTAGATGCCTTACTATACATTACTGAAAAGTCTCATTATGGAGGCACCTTTTAAAGTTGAAATTCTGTTGTGTTAGCTAGAATTTTGACTCTTGATAATTTTTGAAACAGGATCTGAAGAATCTTTTCACCCACTGCAGTTAGAATCTACTCTGAGTGAGCACTGTCTGAATGCCAATCAGCCAGTGGACCTTAATGCTATGTTACAGACGCCTTTTGAACAAACCCCTGGAATTAAAAAATGGGACAATGAGAACGGTATTTCATCTGCCAGAGAATACAAAGAACTGGCAAGAAATATGGAATGTATTAATCTCCAGTGTTCAATGGGAGATCTGCAAAATGAAAGTCTGAATCCACTGGAAGAGCACAAATCATTTTATCAGCTAAATACCACACCAGTTATAGTGGGTGAAACTTCCCTTCAGCAATTATTAAAAGAGACTGTGTCTTCTGAAAAATTACCTGTGGAGGTGTTTGATAGGAAGTATGTGAAGCTTCCTGAAAAATCAGTGCAGGCACATGAAGCAAATAAAGCTGTGGAACTGGATTCTCAGTGCAATACAAATATAGAGGAGCCAGATCAACGCTTTCCAGAAGTACAGAAATCTTGGAGGGTTCCCAGAGCAACCAACTTGGAAGACTCAGACATCCATTTGCAGGCTGTTGTACAACAGAATGGTTCTGTCTTAGAAAGACATGAAAAACATTCTAATCCTGTGCCCAGAAGCTCATGTCGTATTCCAGTCTGGGTGAGTGAAAGAGATTTCCAAAAGCAGTAATTTGTGCAGGCTGCTTTGTTGGGTTTTCATGTTGTTGCACCAAGTTATTTTAGACCCTTGATAACTGAAAGCTTGGCAAATGTAGATTTTACAGTTCCAGTTTAAGACTTGCATGTTTCCTGGACTTCTGCTCGGCTACTTCTTTCAGATCATAGCACTGAAATAATTAGCAGTAGCTAAAATGAGCTGGAGTGCCTGTGATTGTTGGAGGAGCTATAGCCATTCTGTTGTGTCTCCCTCTCTTTGCATCAGTTGGTACAGCGTATGCATCTGCATTACTTGGCACGGTTACTCAACTGAGCAGCCCCTGTCCCTGCTGAGAAGCCTGAAGAAAGTAAATAATTCAACTAAAACATAAGCAAACTTTGTAGCTTTAAAAAAAAAAAAGTTTGCTGTAAAGTAATTTAAACTTGAGGTGAGTGGAGGAGAGGTGGAGCTTTTGTTGTTGTTTGGTTGCTTTTGTTTATTTGATTGGTTTTTTTTCTAAACACAGGTAGATAAATACTTTGCATTGGACTTGGGGTCCAGGGTTTGCATACATCAAAACCTCAGGCAAAGTGCTTATTCTGTATTTCATTTCGTGCTTGGGGGTGGATTTTTTTCTTGTACCTTTTGAATGAGCCTCCTCTTTCTGGCAAGATAACAGCTATTGCTATTGCTAGAAGTAGTGATTTTTTTTTTTTTTAATTATTATTTTTTACACTGATGTCTTGTATAATTTATTTTCCAGGAGACTGAGTCAGGGCATGGTATTATGGAAGAACCTGAACTCACTCTGGCAAGCTCTAATGATGTTAGTATTGCAGAATCAGACATTGAACATACTAACCAAGAGAAAATCAAGGAGGACAAAATCGGTAACCCAGCATGTGTGGATCAGTCTGAATTTAATGTTTTTACTGAGGTGAGTCTTTTTTATCTAATGTAATTCTGATTTTAACTTAATCTTGATCGTAATAGGGAGAGCCCTACTACAGCAGTTAATCCACTGTTGCAAAATGAGAGAACGTTAGGGTTATAGGAGCTTAGCAAGCTCTTGGATCATCTTGTTTTGGTGTTCTGTTTTCTGGACAGATCTAATAGAACTGAAATTTGGGCTATTCTTGAATATCGCTACCCTGACATATCAGTGTAGGTAGAGTTTGGGAGGATGGCTGCTGCTGAGAAACAGAACCATCTTGCTGGTGTCTGCAAGACTAAATTGTATCCTGTTAAGTTGAAAATTTGAATGAGGGGAGAGGGTGGGACCAAAAAAAAGCTACAAACTAAGCAGGAAAAAGAGGGGAAAAAATCCCCTACCTAGTGGATGGAGCTACACCAGGCCCACACAGTAGTTCTTAGTTTATGGGGAAAATATGATCAGCTCGTCATTCTGCCGTACTTAACTTGCCTGTGGTATGCTTTTTGTGTTTGCTGAGATAAATAAAGCAAAGGCCCTCAATTACAGAGGGACCAGTTTGTAATGAGGGAATAGTTTGGGTGCTGAAGCAATAAAGTAGAACCAAGTAATGTCTGCCTGCTAGATGAGCAGATTAGGTGAAACCGTGTTTGTTGCAGGAAGCATCTTGAGAAGATGCTAAAGGATGGGTCTTTATAAAGTAATGGGAATGTGGGTATGGTGGAGATTGGCAGCTGGAGGCTGAACTTCTGCAGCGGGTGTTGCCTTCTGGCTGAGAAAGGGGGAAGGAGACACGGCAGAAAGAGAGTGATATGGGGGGGGGCAGAGAGAACAGGCAGAAAGAAAAGCAGATCAGCTGAGATGAAATTACACAGCCCTGAATTAAGAACAAGCAACTGAAATCTTGGGGGCAAAGGGTCTTTAATGGATTTTTTGTAAGTTGTAAAATGTTTTTAGAAAGTAGCTTTTTAATAGTATCAGGATCCATTTTTGGTGTTTTTCTTGCATCTGCTATGAAGGCAAAGGAGTTAGGTCTTTTATTTGCATTGGGTCTGTGCTAGCGGTACAGTGCTACCACTTCACTCAAGTTTGTGGCGTATATTAAGCTTTTCCAATTGCTGACTCCTTTTGAAACAGGAAAGAGAATTTTTACCACTAGTTCCAGACGTGGATTATTCGGTGTTTGTAAGGCCTGACAGTTCTTCCAAAGCCCGGAGTCCCAATGACAGCCACTCTCCATCACATCAGACTGCAGGTAATTATGTGTAACATAACTATTGAACTTTGAAAAATTCTGTGGTGTTTCAAGGTTTGTCTTCATATAGTTTATGCACCTTCACTTTTTTTTTTATTTCCTGTTAATCCTCAAGCTCTGTAGCTAAAGAATGTCTGTGTTGGTTTTTTTTTTTTCTTCCTGTTCTGATGATAGTATGGAACATCAGTAAGATATTGAAATATTTTTTTTTTTTCCAAGATGAACAGCGGTAATGTGAAAGACGGTGTTGACAGAACTTAGCCGTGCTGGGAACTTCTCAGGTCTTTGATAAGTTTTGAGGCACTGAGATGCTTTCAATGCAGTATTTATCACAGGATTTGTCGTGGCAGACCTGCTTACAATTACTGGATTCCATAGGTTTGAATTGGAGCTTGTTTTGCAAGATTGCTCATCACTCACCATGTCATTCTCCTAGTACAACTTACAAAAGTAGTCAAGCTCAGCATTTTAGGAGAAATACATTGAAATGCGTGACTTCTAGCAACGAGCAATATCACCTCTAGTAAGTGAGAAATGTTCAGATTTTTTGTTCTTTCACAGTGATGCTGCTGGAATTTGCTTCTACACCAGGCAATTTGCAAGAATCTTTTTTAAAAAGCAAGAAGAACTTCATCCAGAAATCTCTGAAAAGAGTAGAAGAAATAAAAAATAAAGAGAGAAAAAATGAAAAGCCAGAAGCCAAACAGTTTCAAAGAGGAAGGTCTGAGAAGTTAAGCAGGCAAAAGGAGTCTCCTCTTGTCTCTGGTAGGTTTATCTGAGGACAAGACATGGCATTAGGTATCCTTCTAGTTGCTGTTTTATATTGAAGAAGAGATTTCACATTTGTTGCATCTTTGCTATTGCAGACTGGGATAGGCTTTCCCTGGTGTTCTCAGGGATGCGGGGGGCAGAGCTTTCCCTCCCTCCCTGCTGCTGGCTGCCTCATCAGTGTCCTAAAGGCCCCTATGGGCACTCTTCGTATCTTCAGTCTCCCACGTGTTTGTGGTCATAGGCCTTTGCAAATAACAGTTGTTTGATCAGAAAACAACCGTAGTAAGTGAACTGGTGCGTCTCTGATGCCTGCTAACAGGGAGTTGGGAGTTGGCTGTTGAGAAGCATGGCTGGCTTAAAGTACAGGCAGCAGCCTCATGAGTGAGACTATGGAAGATTTATTTTTCAACACAAGAAGTCATCTCTACTGTGTCCATTCAGCTAGCCTATAGCCTATGTTTTGGGGGGTTTTTTTGTAGTACCTTTGAAACATCTTACGCTTTCGAGTTAGCTGGATTAGAGATTTAAGGTATGTTTGCTTTTTTTTTTTTTTTTAAAGAAAAAAAAGATGCAGTTGCCAAGCAGTTGAAGAAAGTGGGAGAAGTGAAAGTGTCTTCTCCAGAGGACAGGAAGTCTGGAGAAACTGAAATGCACCAGCGTACTTCAAGGTATTGCATGAGCACAGGTGGGAGAAGTTTGGATTGAAAAAACAGAAGTAGTTCAGGGGTGTCTTGCGAAAGCTCCCTCCTGGTCAGAGCACAGTTTGTGATCTTCCAGTTGGACCCTCGGGGAACGCTGCTTGATGCTGAAGTGCTGGGAGGGGGGATGTTGTGTTTGATACAGGTGCCTGCTGGAAATTGGAAATCCCCTCACAGGGCTGGCAGCCTGCTCAGTTCATAGTGCTGAGGCAGCTGTGCCAGTTAATGCACGGAACTAGATTAAACTTGAAACAGAGTTCAGAATTGTACTTGGGCACTTATTAATGATAACATGCGGATACAGCTCCTGAAGGGGGTGGTGTTTGCTGGACACAGGCAGTCAAGGAGGAACCTGAAGTGATGCGAGGTTATTGGAGAGATGAGTCAATTCCCTTTTTTAATTTCTAGCAATTGAAACAGTAAAAACCTTTAAGCCTGTTAACTTATTTCTGCTTTGCCACTTCCCTGCCTGACAAGATACATTTTTTTTTTTTTTCCCCCCTGCTGTTTTGACAGACTTTATAATCAATTTGCAGAAGTAAAGATCAGAAAGGAAGAAAAAACAAGGCAAGAAACTTATGCTAGAAACAGAGAAAAGGCTAAAGAGTTTCAAAAGGTAATTGCCTGCTACACTGTTGTCTTACCCGGGTTGTTCTCATGACTTCACTGAGCTTCTGATCAGACTAATTGAGACACGGGTCTGGGGTGTGAGCGTGAGAAACCAACACCATCAAAGCAGTCTGGACTTCAGGTGGTGCTGTTGGTGTATCCCTCTTAAGCGTTTGTCAACACCGCAACTGGGCTTTCTGATACGAACTCCTAGGGCTGAAATATTCTCTGAAGGGTGCCTGCCTTGGGCTGGATTTTCCTGGTGGCTTTAGATTAAGCAAAAGGGCCGTTAGGGACTCCAGCTGCTAGGGAGTCTACTTGGCAAAAGAACAACAGGAGTTTTTTTACTAGTCCAAACCTGACTGAATTTCCAGTATAAGGCAGTGTCTTTTTTTTTTTTTTTTTTTTTTTTTTTTTTCCCCCAGCTTTGTTGGCTCTTCCAGGTAACTTAAGATTCTGCCTAGCTGCGCACACCTGCATTTGAGGCTGCAAGGATCCTGTCTGAGTTTGCCTGCAGTTGCTCTGGAGTAGGGGGTTGAACAAGAGGACTGGAGTTGTTAGTGCACCCTGTCCCCTTGCTGGGCCACAGACAACTGGAAGGAGGGAAGTGCTTGATAATCCTGACAGGCTGGGACTGCTGCCAGGGGCTCCAGGCCCTATCCTGCCTTTAGCACAAACCACCTCAATGTTTTTGTGGTGGAATAAATTGTGGCTCTTTATAGTTTTTACAGATTCTGTAATTAAGGGAAAATATAAGAGAAAAAAGCACACCTTCCCCCTGGATGCTGTGGGCTTTTTGGAGCAGTAGCAGTAACCAAACCCCTTGTCCAGACTTGTACTGTCTGTTACTGCCGTTCAGGTTATAGGCGAGCAGCACCTCAGCTGTGCCCACCTAACAAAACTGGGCTTAGTACAGTCACTTAAGCTACACCACTGTAGTCTCATGGTTTATTTGCAGAAAATGCTGGAAAAGCTACGAGCCAAGAAGACTTGGAAAGCACCGTGACTGGCAGAAGACTTGGAGCAACAAGGAACACTAGTGTTGGTACAATCCAAGAGACCACTGAATAACGCAGGCTTCACTAAGTTAATTGTGGGGCCATTAGGACTCCTCAGCTGTAAGCTGTAGGGCAACTGTAAGTAAACAAAACCTGTGTCGCATCCTCGTGTTTCCTCAGCTGTAAGCTGTAGGGCAACTGTAAGTAAAACCTGTGTCGCATCCTCGTGCTTTACTGAGATCACCACAGCAGATGATCAACTACTGCATTAAACATGGTTTGTCTCGGAGGGAGCAGACTGACAGTGTGGAACGCCTTTCTTCATGTGCATTAGTGTTCTAAAGGGAGATCAGACCAACTTTTGTAATATACATGTATGAAACATTTTCAAATAAAGTGGTTTTTAAGAAGATTTAAATCCTCAGGATGCTAGACACTAATTTTTTCTGTAAAGTTGGAATTTTAGTGCAAAGAACACATGTGATTTAAGATTAGGATGTGTGGGTTCTAGAGGTGCACTTTAAAGCAGATGAAGGCAGGAAGAGAATAAAAACCTTCTACTGTTACTACTTCCAACTGTAGTTCTTCTGTCCAAGCTTCCTCAGCTCCAGGTCAAAGCTAAGGAATTACATCATCAGGAGCAAGTCAAAGCTCAGCAATTTGTTACCCCCTCTCTCAGTAAGGAAGGAAAGACAAACCCAGCTTGTCATCCTGTGGAGTTAAGTGAGGTGGAAGCTTTCTGTGGTGCCAAGGTTAGAGGTAGGGTAGGTGTAGCCTCTCTCTTCCCCCTGGTGGTTCTGCAAGGGCTGCTCTGGCGTATGCATGAATACCTTGTTCCTTTCTCGTAATATGATCAGAAGGGAAGAGACCAAGACTGCACTTCACAACCAGCAAGCCATAGGTGATCAGCTGCCACCATTTACTCACTCCTCTGTTTGCTTACACACTAGCAACAGGAAATCATCCCAGCTGCAGCTTTCAGCCATCAATTTTATTTAAGTGCTGTTGACATTCTGTACAGAAGAAACACCTCTGCAGAGCTTCAGTACAGTGGAGTTCAGTGACAGGGAAGTGAGGGAAAACACATGATAAAGCCTCTTCCAGTCCAAGTACGGCTGTATAAACTCAGCAGAGTTAGCCCTTCTGCCACACCAAGCAGGCAGCTGAGGATCCAACCTCAGCTTTGCCACCGCAGCTGCCAGGACAGACAAGTCACAGCTGAAAGGGTAAGGGCAAAGGCTCCCTGGGCACTATTTCAGTTTACAAAGCAATAAGAAAAGTCAAATGTTTAATTCCAAATTCTTCATTTAGAAGAGCCGTGCAGTTCTTGGCAGCAGACTTCCAGCACCATCACCAGGACCTGAGGGAGGAAAAGCATCTGTTAGCACTTTTACTCAAAAGCCATGTGAACTCTGTTGTCTTCCTCACGCTTAGCCTAACATTTTCCTCTACTCTGAAGCCATTTCACTTCAGCAGTAACGCAGGGAACATGCGCATACAGCCCTTACTAAACTGATACGGGGCAAAAGCATGATTTCCAATGCCTGCTCCCCAAGTACCATAATTGTCTCTTTCCTGTAACTACGCTGTGCCCACAGCATTCCCACCCTGCACTTCTTTCCTTCCTCACCTAGTTTTTCCAGGATTATCTGCTCTAAGACTTCCATGCAGCTCTAGGAATATGTCATATTGCCAAGAGAAAAGGAAGCAGCAATTAAGTTACAAGACTGCTCATGCCACAACTTCACATGCTGCAAACTCAAAAGGTTTCATTCTGAAACTGAGCAGCCTTTTCCCTCCATCAGCATCTCAAAAAGCCTAATGGCAGCCAATAAACATCCTTTTTCACTCCAAGAGTCTCACTACACAAGGCATATCTCCTCACAAATAGACCATAGCACACACCAAGTGTCCACGGCATCCTGCAGAGGATTTCAATATGCGGTCACCGCGTTAAGAGCTGCTGGTTTTTCAGCCATGCAAACCCTCTTTGAAGTGACCTTGGATTTCTTTTTGGTAGCATCAGTTTTGCTGAGCACTCTTACCTTCAGACTCACTTTGGTGGCACTCAAGTGGTGTTCCTCACCCCTCTGGCACACAGTGATGTGGTAGCAGACGCTATGGATTAAAGAGTCAGATACAGTTAATGTAAGTGAAGAGTTGCAACAAACAAGATGGGTATAAATTGCGTGCAGCAGCCTTCTGTCTCCCCTTTTTGCTTCTGTGTGCACAACAAAGCAGCTTCTGGAGTCCAACTTACAGTTCTAACTAGAACTTCTGTTCCTCTGCAGCTAAAGTGTTAGAGGTGGCCAAGGATGCAGCCGCATTCCTACACCTCAGCAGGAGCTTGCTTTCCTCTGAACAGCAGCAGAAAGGAGCAATGTGTCTGACCTACATTAAAGCTTTATTTCCAGCAGACTTAGTGCCACATCATGTGGCAATTTGAGAGTCTGATGGATTTGCTTTACGGTCATCTCCACAACTCGCCAGAAACAGCAACATCCTAGCAGCCTTGGTAATGACCGGGCACTCTCGTCTCGCTGCTCTTACCACCGACTAAAAGCAATATCCAAGTTGCCCATCCTTTCTTGTTAAGGACCAATCAATCATGCCAATATGTAAGCCAAGCTGCGTACCAACAAGCCCCAAATCTGTTAAAAGCTCCAAGTACAGAGGAATTCCTCACAACCAGTATCAGTCTTTGTGTCAGAAACTAGTACTACAAATAGCTGTGCAACTTCGTGACATCCACTTAAAGTACGAACACACACAGAGGAGTAACTTGCAGATAAGCAACCTGCCCAGATGCTGCCAAAATCAGGGGTGGTCACTGCTCAGCAGTCTCTGCTTCTAGACAACCATTTTACACTTTTCTAGAACAGTTTACTGAGGTTTCAGTGTTCTAGAGTCATACCAAGTTAACACACAAACTGTAAAATAGCAAGAAACCATCTGAACTGACAAGTAGCTCAGTGCTTACCTGTCAAACAGGTTATCTTCCACAGCCACTCCTTCTAACATAGCAAAATTCACATCATCTGTAGCCTAAAGCACCTGTTTAAAAAAAAAACAAACCAAAAAACAACAAACTGAATGCACTCGCCACATTCCAGAGGCCAGTATCCAGTTCTCACACCAGCACATGGAAACCAGAAAGCAAGTACACTCCAATCCCCAGAGGACAAAGACTGTATCAGCAAAAATACCAGGTTTAACAGCCACAGCAGAATGAAAACCAACGATGCCAAACACTGAACTTCTGTCGCACTGGTTTTTGAACATCCCACCAGGAGAATGCTGCTGGGTGCAGATACCATACAGTGCAAGAGCCACAGTAGTTATTCATCCACGACTGCTCATTTTAACATTTGAGCTTTTTTGTATGCACCAGTTAGTACCTAGTGATAAGCTAAGCTGAGGTGCTCCTCATTTCACAAAGGCTGCCATCCAACTAAGAGGGAAAACAGACTCCGTGAGTTTCACCTAATAGGAGTAGCAGCTTCAGAATTAACTTTGAAGTTTTTATCTATTCCCATCTTGAAGGATTCATACTTCTTCCAGAATATTCTTCTTGCTTTACTTTTAACTCCACATTCTACAGAAGATAAGCCAGGGATTTTGATGGTAGAGCAGTCAACTGGCCGAGCTGCTTGGAGATTAACTCAGAACTTTTTAACTCAGAACCTCTTTAACTCAGAAACTTGTACACATAAACCCAATATGGCTGCTCAGTGTGAAACTCTCATCTACTTGAGAGAACAATGCAGCATGTTTATGAAGTTGCTTCAAGTTCAGACAGACACCAGTAACATCTCTTTTTACCGACAGCCACCAAAACAAGAAACAAAGAATCACTTCTTTGTGATCAAAGGGGGAATAGATTGCTTCAAGCCATCCAGAAAAGTCAAGCCACAAGAAATAGTGTTAGAAATGAGGTACCTACACAAAAACCTGGCTGAAGAGTAAGTTCTGCCCATGCAATCCAACGTGCCGGTTACACCTGAAGTCCCAGAAGACACTGTCTTTTGACTCTTACCAAAGCTTTTCCACTTTTTTTCCCCTCCATTTTTTTCATTTGTATCAAAACTCAGTACCTAAAGAAGATAATGCATTGTTACTGTTCCTAGGATGCTACATCTGCAGAGATTTGTCTTGTGGCGTTATCCCACAGAGCTAACTGGTAGTTCAGTGGGTAAAGCGAAACCACAAGTTTATTCTGTGAGGCGTTTCCAACGACACGAACCTACAGAGGAGATCCTATCGGGATAGACCTCAACATTCCTGGTACTATAAACTAACACAATAGATAAAAGCAGACTGGAAAGGCATCTCGTGCAGCTCCTACTAAGCGTCTTTTTAACTTTGTTTCAAGACATTTGGAGGAAGGAGGAGGGTAAATGATACACTTAACATATGGGGAAGATGAAGTTACCCCTTCATATCAGCAACAGTTTTAATGTTAAATGTCACCCGAAAGGCAAACAACAAAGGGAATTAACTACAAAATTGTACTCAAACAGAATCTTCCCTGCTAAGTGTTAACTTACTTGTAGAAACAATTTAAGCAGTCAAGCTGATCACCTTTTTGACTCAGAGATTTGTATGAGTATTCTTTGGACAAATGAAAGTTAAAATAAATTCTTCACTTAAGAGTGAACGCTACATTAAAACACAGTAACAGTGTTGAGGCAAGTCCCTGAAACCCTCCAAATGTCAGTAAGCATAACGTGATACAGACTTCCAGCCACTGAAAACCAGAGCCCTTCAATCATAAAGGAACCTGCAGCAGCTCAGATGTCATACTAACCCTAGAAGGGGCTTCAGGTTTCTGTGAAATGGCACCCTGCATTTCTTCTCTCTTTTTCTCTGATTCCGTACCACCTGAAAAAGAGAGGGTTACATACAAACCAATACGTAAGTGCATACAAACCAGCAGCAGTACTTAGTACTTAAGCAGTTCTAACCACCACAGGCATTCCCGATAGCCTCTATTTGGAATCACACTTAAAGCTATTATAATGTCTGAATATTATCCTATTTGACAGCTCTTCTTAATTTCCCATTTATTTTAAAAAGAGATTCACAGAGTTATGATCTTTGCTGACACAACACACTGTGTTAAAAACTTAAATGCCCAGAAAAAAGTGACAGGAAAAGGACACTCATGTAACAGACTTGTTCAGAAAGGCTATTCTCACTCACTCTCTTCAGAGCAGTTGAACATTTTGCCAATCATCACAACAATTCTCACAGCATTCTCAAGTTTGGGGGAAGACAAGCTTTTACATTTTCTATAGCGACACTGCTTCTTCTCAGTAAGAAAAGACAGCAATGTAACCAGCTCACCGAGTTAAAGACAGACAGCTAGCCTACAACAGCCAAGGGTTAAAAAAGAATCTGTCGCACTAACTTACCAAGATGCTAGTTCAGACTGACTGTCATGTGGACTGCTGTCCTGGTTTTGGCTGGGATAGAGTTAATTTTCTTCATAGTAGCATAGTAACTTCCTAAAAAGAATAAATTGTTGCATCTGAGTAATAGTTCCAAGTTATTTCAGTAATTTATGAAGACTTAGGCACTTTTATACTGAATATGAAGCAGGCAGACTATAGTCCAGTTGTGCTGTCGGTATGCTAACGCCCAAACAAAGCATTTCTTTTGAAATCAGAGCCATGGCCCAGTCTATCATGCAACTATCAATAAAATCTATTTGCAATTTAAGAAACTGGAACACTATGGCACAGTAGATATAACTAAGGGAGTTACCAACAGTCAGCTGGTACTGTGATGTAAAGAAAACTTGTATGAAATAACATTTTAAGACAGCTTACAAATAGGGTCTAATAAACCATCTACAAGAATGCAGCACTGCATGTACTTTTGCTCTACCTGCTAGTAATGCTCTACTTCCTTTAGTAGGCAGGATGCAGAATTCAAAAATGTCAAAACAAGCTAATCCTTGGGATTTTACAGTAGCTGCATTGGGAACTATGTTTGCGTAACTGTCCCACGCTAAGTAAACCTGTTACAGGCCTCATTGTCTCCACTGCAATTAACTTTACAGTGAGGAAAGCATAACCTGTTTCTCTTCTAGCCACGTTTTTCAATGCAGACACACAGTGAGTTGTGTCTATTTGCTGAATAACGAGGCATAACAATTAACTCTTCACAGTGTCCATAGAATAGCTTCTGGGTTTGGAACCTAGCCAGTTAACTTTAAAAAAACCAAACAAAACATGTCACTAACTGCCTTCTGGCACTTGGATTTGTGTTTAAAAACACAATACTGCTTCTTTGTAAAAAGGCAACTTGAGCTTTTATGACCCTCATCCAACTACTCCCTCAATACTTACCCTTAAGTAGAGGCTTTCCACTGTGTTCCAGACATTTTAGAAATGCCCCTTTAAGAAATATTTTGGAACAAGGTCATTTAACTGCACTTTTATCCTGTAACAGTTCAACAGTTCTTCAAAGTTGTATTTGACAAGCTTCCCAATAAGAAACTTTCAATCTACTTGTTTCAACAGAAATACCAAGTTTAACCAGCACGTCTGCATGAAAACCAACGATGCCAGCTGCTGAAATACTGTAGCACTGCTTTTTGAACACCCCATCAGGAAGATACTGCTGGGTGCAGATACCATACAGTGCACAAATTAGTCTGATTACTTGCTGTGGAAATAGTACTTGTCTGAAGAAATCGGATACTCTTACGCTGAAGAAACAAAACTTACCTCTTTCC